GTCAATTGATAAGCGTTTGATGGGTGCCAGGGTGCCATGGTGTAAAGATTTCTCAGAAAGTATGAGCAATGTGCTGAGGAATGCAGGTAAATTTTAACACTTCGGTAGGTATAATCAGTACACCTACAGGTCATGTCAATTACAGGTTACATCATCTCTACGTCACGTCAACTACAGGTCCATCCACAGGCCACGTCATCTATATGTCCATCTACAAGCAACGTTATTTACAGGCCACATCAACAACAGCAGAGGTCAACTAAAGGTCATCTACAGGGTCACCGACATAAGGAGGATGTGTACGAGCGATCTCAAGACAGAAGTGAACCCAAGTGGATCAATTTGCCTCAACATGACTCCTCCTCCGGTATCACCTTATTTTTAGCTCACCCGCTGCTTTTCCGAACATGACGAACACCTCTCCTCATAACCCTGCCATTGTTGTTGGTTGTGGTAGTAGCAGTTGTGTCTGTTGTGGTGGGGAAATATACAATGTCCCTTAAACTCAGTAATCTAATGGTGCCAAAAAAAGAGTAAGGTCAACTTCTATGTTCTTGACCGGGTTTGACCTCCCTCTCAAACGCAGGTCAAATCTACAACCCCAATACTGAACCACTGAACCCCCTAGGCGGAGATAAGAGCCAGGGTTTTTTTTTAATATGAAACTTGATTTTTATGTCACCTTGGTATACGTTTATTAAACATGACTATTCTCATCAACAAATAATGTACCCAAATTCACCTGCACTTGGCATGTATTAAAATAAATTATAAGACCATTATTTTCCTAGTACAGGTGAGTTTTTTTATAATCATAAGAAATGTATTAACAGACAGATCAGTGTTCATTACTATATGTAAACAAGGCTTCATTATCTCCGCCAAGGGCTCACAGATTCGGTGGTGGAGTATTAGGCCTGACAACACTCCTCTACTCCCCCGTGTAGTTATGTAGGTGAGGACAGACAGTCTGAAGGAGAGAGTTCAGGGGGGTGGTACTTGAAAGGAATAGTTGGAGGGAAGTGACCATGAGCAGGATTTGGAAGAGGGTTGTGGGTAGTGGCTACAATCGGGGGGTGGGGGGGACACCAGCCTGGAGTCCGGATTCGCTACAGTTGTGTTGGTTTTCCTGGTATCTGGAAGTAACAACGCATCCGCGAATGGTTCCCGTGCAATTTCAACATCACTTTTGTCTTGCGTGATCAAGTTACCTGACTTATCGCTTCACCAACTTCTGAGAAAACGTGCGAGGTCAGGTCAGTCCAAGGGCCCCCACAGTCCTGAAACCACTGGGACCCACGACGACTGGAGCCCATTAAGTGAGGTGAGTTAGGGGGCCCAATATGACAAAGGAAACACTGCGAATGAGGTCCAATCCTTATGCTTAGGTTAGGTTGGAATTTACAAACAAGATCAACAAAAGGGAGACAGTTGGCTGTCCCATCTACCACACACCCCGACCACCACGCCACAACCACTGGTGTGGTCACCGAGATGGTCAACTCGCGTCTTCATGATAGATGCTGAATAATCCAATTAGTGATGGTAACCCACCCCGGGGAGCCAAGGCCAAGCTCCAGTATCCTGCTCAGTGTATCAAGTGTTGGGCAGCCAAGTGAAGGAACTGTCCACTTGACAGTCGTGAGCCGCTCAAGTACTAGTGTGTGAATCTGACCGTGGCTCACGCTGCCGCCTAGGTCTCACCTGGTAACAAAAACAATACTACTACTACTAATAATAATAATAATTCGCAATCAAGGGGATAAATCATCATACTCGAGGGGTTTAATTAGTATACACTCTTGACAGACAAACAAATATCACCATTAATAACATTACTATTATTCCCACCAGCGTCTACAGTATATATGTACCCCACACTGTGCTGTATATGACTACAATAAAGATATCCTCGTCAAAACTATTGTTTAATGATTATTATTGTTATATTTCTAAAGCGGTAATGTGTTGTGGCAGCCGTCTCCTGGCCTCAAGTGACATACACAATGCTTGTACACAGCCAGCCAGTTCACAGTCAGGAGCTCTCCAAGGAGGAGTTGGTCGCCTCTATCACGAGGGGAGAGTAAGGGGAGACGTAGTGTTGCCATAAGCTGGTCACGTCATTCTCCACCAACGTCTCAATTTCCAGCTGTGAGTAATAACTATTTAGCCGCCAACACAATCCTCTTTAACAATTCCCACACAAACAATTCTTGACGCCTCAAATTTAGGTAACAGGACTAAAGAGAATATAAATATGTTTGACAAAAAATGCCTTTCTAGCTCAGAGCAGTTGAGAAGGCGAAGGAGCCAACGTGGAGGAGGAAGGGGAGAGAAGGGGGGGAGGCTGGGGAACAGGAGCCACGATCAGTGCCATATGGCGTCCGGGTCAAACTTCCCTGCCATGACCGGAGCCCAAAACACCCCAATTTAAGTCATTATTCACGGTACGGTAACTTGCTCTCATTTTGTGTGTGTTATATTACAGAACAATGAGGCGAAAGAGCAAAGGTCAACTCAGCAGAACTCCAACACTCCTCCTGGCATCCTTTTAAATTCAAAGAGGGAGGAGGCCAACACCCGCCGTGTGGTATGCCGCCTCACGCACGCCGGATACGTCTAACACCGTGGCGGGCCACACCTTGTGTTTCACTCAACATTCCCTCGCGCTAGTGGTAATACCTGCACTCTTAATACTTAATTACCACCACCATCACACCTTTGTTCCTTTATTAGGTGTGCGGTGGCAGGAAAGTATTAGTGTGAGAGTTAAACACCATCTGTGACGACCATGACAGCCCCAGGTGTGAGCACTCATGGTCAGCCAACCACTACCAGTCTTCTGGTGTATCTTGCCCGTCCACCTCACACCCAGAATACATAATGCTCTTCAGCCTCTTAACATTTACTCCACCTACGACATCGTCCTTACACTTCCCCCGACCGTCTCTCCGTCCCCTCACAGGGTACAACTGGTGTCTGGCACTGCTCTCCCCAACCACCTCTACCGACTCCTCACCACCACCTTCACCCCCCACTCCCCTCATCTCCCGCATCCTCTTCCCCTCAGTCTCAAGTCTTCCCTCCCTAAAAGGATTTATGGCCACTTCTCCTGTTCTTGTACCCTGAGCAGACCAACCTAATGTGCTCCGTTTTACAGCATATGAAAAAGCTGATTTTCGTTCTAAACACGATGGAACGTTACACACACGAAGATAACACTTCCAAATACGCCGATGTAATTCAAGGCAAAAACACTTCCGAGTTAGTAATGAAATTAGTCAGAAATCTAGTGTGAGGAGGAGGGGGGAGGCACGCCCTAGCCACCCGAGAGTAGTTGTGCTGTAGAGTAAGAGTTGAGGCTCCCGCCCACCACTCATCCCCCACAACACAATGGCTGCAGATAAAAAAAAACGCCGATGCCTTTGTTAGGTCATCGGTTCTTCCAGTGGATATCAATAATCGCCAACTTGGATTCATATATTCCTCCAAATGTGGCCTACAGAGTTGGCATTATTCATTTAGTATAATTACACAACATATCCAATCACAACTAAGCATTATATTAGATATAATTGCAGCTACAGAATTACCTACCTGCGTGCACCAGCAACACGCACGACAACCTTTTTTTTATTATCCACTTCTCGCCGGAGGATCCAGAGGGATTGAGCGTTGATCACCTGACCCCTCGAGCGAACCTTTGTCATTTTAATTAGCCAATTAATTACGGGCGAGTGCAGGTGTAGGAGCGTGACGGTAAGGTAGTCTGGGCACGTATATGCTGTCTCCCAGCCAAGACGCTCCCAGTACACACACACACACACACACACACACACACACACACACCCCGTAAACAATATTACTGGGGAATTTCTTGACTGGTGACATATTTATCAAAACACACAAAGACAGATAGCAATACAACAACACACGTGAAATCAGTTACTTTAATATTCAAACATTATCAAAACTATCTTGTCTTTATCGTATCTACTGTTCACATACCATCCAGTGAAAAGACACCAAATTACAATATACCTCAAACAACTGAGTCACATATATTACTTCTGTAAAAAAAAAAAAAGTCCGAAAAAGGATTAAATCTGGAGACCTAAACGTACCCGAGACCTGTAAAGCCACAAGCCACAAACAACTGTTGATATCAGGACGTTCGTTTTTGCTTAATTCGAGACAGTCTTTACCCCTGCAACCTACTGCTGTCCCCCCCACAGCATTACACATCCGACGGAAATCTTGGTCACTCACACCACTAAAAACAATATCATAATTCTTTCCTCTTACCCATTCACACGTTACAACACCCTCATCACGTGTTGCCTGTTAACCCTCAATATCAGTACACAATATTGCAACGGTCTTAACAGCGGACTTGTACACAAAACTCTAAACCACATTAAGTACTGTTACGGATTATTGAAGATCTAATGTGATAAAGAGTTTTTGGTCCACACACACACGGGGCCTTGTACTGTACAGTGTCATAAGACCCAGAGATATATACCGGTATACCTAATTCTGGGAAATACCCGTAAATCATTCCTCACACAACGGGCCATATAATCTTTCCTACCTCCTACTGGGTCTCTCATACCACACGTGCCCTCCTCAATTCCTGGTCTCCTGTAGGTATAAGCCCCTCCTTCAACTCCCCCCTTCACCATCGGTCTTGTCACCCCCCGCCCAAGTTTTGTACCCAGACTAACCCTCCAGATGCCCCTCAACAACAAGACCTGGAGGAGTTCGTCTACCTGCCATCATTTATCACTGGAGGCAACATCCTCCTCCTCGCTACACTCCTTGACACTCTCCTGTATAACCTGACCTACAAGCACACAACGAGCCTAAACATGTTCCCAGTTTAACACAGCAGTATAACCACAGAGGGGGGAGGGGAGGGGGGGCAAACGTTGTCTTGGTTCATAGGAATGTCAATAGTTTCCAAGACATACACTGGAAAAGCCATAAACGTACGTTACCTGTAAGTTGCAGAGGGTGATGTTCACTTGGTTGTGGAGCCGAGGAAGCACGGCGTGGGCTCCACAAGGTACACACAGGGCGGGCCACACTGACACACTCACCACAATAAGCCCCACATCAACACACACTGCTACGGGACTTACGACCTAACGGACTTTACTGTACACCAAGACGAGAGGCCAAACGCGTAAGAGTACAAATTACGGGCGGATTTCCAAGGCGGGAGTGAGCGTGCCTACTCGTCCTGTGGTAAAATTCTGAGGTTATTTACGTCGTGGTGGCCACAGCTGACCAGCCGTGCCACCACAAGCAACACCAGTGTAAGACGCCCCACCATGCAACAACGCCGTCGGGATCATGCTGCAGCTCCTCCTCCTCACCTCATATGAAAACCGACTGAACAAATAAATGACCACCAGCAGCAACAATTTAACACAGTCAACACTCTTACTTAAATAAATAATTCTCTGCTATCTGAAACACAAATAAGCGTTCCAAAACTATGCCGCCAAATATAATCACAAAACAATAACATCTTCACACCTAAACAAGCAGGTAGTTTTATCATTCCTTTTGACTCAGTGACGCAACAAAAACAACATTCTTGGGTCATCACACCATAAACTGAGGTGACACATACAGGGAACACTTAACACACCAGTGAGGGGGACACACAACACTGCTGACTAAACACTCATGAAATAGAGAGTAAACAACAACCACGGCGCTTGTCAGGTGCACGGAATCTAATCACCCACCAGTCAACTCAAATTGGACTCTAGGTTATAGGGAGGGAGGGAGGGAGGAACGAAGGAAGGAAGGAAGGAAGGAAGGAACATCAGATAACGAAGCACCAAAACCTAAAATTACTTCAACTGAGGAGGAGGAGGCCAGTCAACTACCCTAACCCAGCAAATCCCTAAATCACCTGACCTCACCCACGCTGATGGCTAAGTACCCGGGAAGGATCTACACCACCAGTAGTAAGATTACAGCTCGGTGTCATACCTGGATTAACAGTAGCTTAGGGATGATTTAGTGTGACGCCACTTGTACCTCAAGAAATTTCAAACAGGAGAACCGCCACGTTTTTTTATTTCGTTTTATTAATTGTTAGGTCAAATAATCGCCATCTTTACCTATGAGTACATTTGCTGTGGTCATCAAACACGATAACAGAAAGTCCATTAAGTAAGGTTTTTGTCATTATTTAACTTTATCAATGAGAAAAAATACATGTTCTTTATGACTATTACTAATTTGTTTTCTCTTTAAAAGTACCTGTAATTTCCGGCATGATTGCTGTGACTTTGACCTACAGGTGGGCAGGAACAAACAACATATTACAGGTGTCATTGAGGTGTTTTCAAAGGTCCACCAGCAAATCTTAGTAAGTTTGTCACGGCGGATATGTTGAGGAATACAATTACTATGTATGTATGTATGTATGTATGTATGTATGTATGTATGTATGTATGTATGTATGTATGTAGCAAATAATGGAGTACATTGTATTCATGTCTTGGCTGTGTAACCTGCTCAAGGGGCTCTGTAAACACAAACATGGACTGGTCTTGTAAACACTGTGTGAACGTGAGGAAGAAGGGGTTTGAACGTAGCCGAGGATCACGGTGTGCATAATCGGATCCTCTTCAGCAATTAATCTTCCATCTTTATCAACATCCGGTCTCCCTCATTTGGTTGTATTTTTTTAGACCAAATTATTGACCTTTCTCCCGATTCCACATTCAAAAATAACAAAAGTAGACGCAATAAAAAGGTCTTTGAATTTACTTCCTGATATTAAAGGCAAATTAGAGGAAAACTGGAATTTTACCAACATAAACAAATTGGCGATTCAAAAAACGGTCTAGAATCGTCAATTTCACGATGTAGATGAACATTGTCGAAAATTACGATCGCAGAAGAGTATATACCTATAGTTCACGAGGCAATTATGTAGTCCGCGGTCCAGCTACACACTGTAAAGTAAGAACTAGTACACGTAAACGCCTGAGGTGGTTTACTCTCTTGGGAATCACTGTCATTTAGCGGAGTTTCACTAATACTTACCGCTTGTTTATGGCCCCCCCCCCTCCCCAGCTGGTTCCCTTGCCAACTGTAATAATTCATGTTTATTCCCCAAATTATTTATGTTGAAGGTGACGCAAACAAATATATTCACTTCATATATTTGGTTTCAACCCCAAATAATTTTAGTAGCTTTATTTAGACGATATAAACTACCACCGCCATTACCCTCGCGACAAAATTGAGGTCAAGTTTTGGCGTGACACAACCGAACACAGGACACTCTCAAGCTGTTTGTCCTACACATTACGTCAACTTGTGTAAAGGTCTCGTCTCACTTGGGTCTCCCTCTCTCACTGAGACACTCCTGGTGAATCATCACTTAGGTCTTTGTTTCCCTCCAACTTTTGTTATTCTTCAAAATATTGTGTTTACTGTTTAGATTATGGAAACTATTTACACCAATCACGTCGCTCTAACAGGGGTTGCTTGTCTGTGACTCTTAAGATGGAGCAAGAAGCTACGGACTCAGAACACCCTGACCCATAACACAGCAAATGGAAGGTTAATATATGTGCCATGTGAGTACAGCCAATCTTTCCACAGTAACCGTTCTCCTCCTCCGTCTGAGCAAGTAACCGGGCTAATATTTATAAGTGGGGGGGGGGGGGCGAGGGTATACAGCCCCGCGCCTCCTACCACACCACTAACGTGAACACAACCACATAAACGAAACATCTCCCCTCACTGGCCATCACACAGTGGCTAGCCAGGCATGCGGGAGTCGATTAACGAGGCGCCACGTCATGTCACCAAGTATCAGCATTTCACGGATCTTGTATTAACACGAGCACCTCCTCGCCAGGTGATGCTCGGCAGGGTCAGAGTCACAACACCCTGCCGGAGACAAAAAGAACTACCTCCGATACACTGTAAACATTCCTTCGGTACAGCAGTAGCACGAAGGTCATGGCCATATAGTGGCCAAGGAATGCGGGGCGAGCATTCTTGACTCACTTACGCTCTACAGCCCGACGTAAACTTCCTATAATAACTGCCTTGGTACTCGTCGGGGATGTGTTGGTATAAGACTGGCGGCGCTCCAGTACACACACCTCCTACAACACAACCAGATGACCTCATGAGCTAAGCCCCGTGATCAGGGAAAACTTTTATGTTAACACTTCCATCACTTGAACGTTCCTTAATGTATATAATTAATAATTCATAACCATTAAACTGAGGGTCAAGTTATTAGACTCAATTCAACACTATCCCAAAATGTGACGGTGTAACATATTACTGTAGTTGAAAAGGGAGACCTAAAACTACGTCAGTGTTCAGTACTTCATGGCAGCATTTTGCACTATATAATTTGCCTGTCACTGGGGCCACTAGGCATACAAGCTGCTACAGGTAAAATAAATTAAAACAAAAATTCAAAATTAATGTCAATATTCACACTAATCTCTAAGCAGGTAAAATAAATTATACAGAAAAATAAATTAAAGTATAAATTCATACTGACTAATATTAAAAAAGTTTATTTAGCCAGATATTACTCTCACTTGTAATGTGCAACGCGAACAAGCGCATGATTGTAAAACGTAATGTGTCATGAGTTGTTAAATGGTGTCATGAGTGGCTGTGTGTGTGCAATCTCTCTATTTCAGAACCTCACCCGTGGTTGGACCCGTCTACAACACTACATCAAGATCTAACCAAGTTTGAGCTGTGTAGGTAATACATGGCCGAGTATGTGGTGGCTCCAGAGTCCAGATAATGCAAGAGTCATGTATGCGTTGAGTGATGGCCATGTTCTGTGTCTTGAGTAGGAGAGAGAGAGAGAGAGAGAGAGAGAGAGAGAGAGAGACAGAGAGAGAGAGAGAGAGAGCCAGTTTTTAGCTGGTCTGCCAGAGTGGGCTAATAGTCTTTACATCCTGCCAACACAAACACTCGCCTATCGTGAAGCAGCGGGCGGACCTGTTGCCTGACACCCCCCCCCTCCCCCCTTCACGCCCACATCCACGCCCATCTACAGCCACATCCACGACCTACTAACATCCATATTCATGCCAGTGCCCAGAACTAACTTCACATTCACGCCAAAAAAAAAAATCACCCACAATCAGGGGCCATATGCAAAATACCCACATCCACGACCAGACCAACACACACACACACACACGTACGTACGTTTAGACCAAACCATAAATGCCCAAAACCCACACGGCCAGACCCAGGCTACACCCAGACCCAGGGACGCTCTCACGGTAGACCCACCTACATCTAGATCCAAGACCGCTCTTTGATCGTAGTCTTCCGTTACACATACTGATGACCAAAGTGAGACCGTCGCACCCACTTCTGCTGTACTGTATAACGATCATTGTATCACCCTTCCTTAGTCCCACAAACTTATCCCAGTATCGTTGTTGTATTATTATTACTATTATTATTGTATTATTTTTATTACTATACCCGTATCATGAAGTTTTAAAATCTCGGGATAAACGGGGAATGTCGTGGTAGAGGCGTGGAGGGAGACTGACACACACACACACTCGGTAGACATATACTGTAGATAATTTCTCTGATATAATCGCCATAAAAGTTTAGATTCATTCGGAGAGTGGGTAGGGGAGGTGTCTTGCTGGGGGGTACTGTGCAAGGTCATTCAGGCGGTGGAGGCGGCTTGGGGTGGGTGATGGTACGCTCCCCCCGACGACTTTAAAGAGACCCCGTGTCACGAGTAGGTAGAGAGACAAGCGTTGGTAGGTTAGGTTAATGGGGAGTGTCCAAGGAGTGATAGGGAAATATATATGTTATAGGCAAGGCAAACCCGGTCAAGATAAAGATAAACATTAAAGTCAAACCAAGCTCTCACACACACACATCTTGACGGGCCTCTCCTCTCCTCCCCAGGTGACAAACAAGCGATAGGGACTGCCCAGTATGGATCAATAGGCCAGCTGCAGTTTCCTCCATTCTTATGACTCAATCTCGGTCTTGTTTGGTTAACGCCGTCATTATACGTTGCTTGGGAGATCCATCGAGCTGTCAGACAGTCGTGGGGGAATTCCGCCA